AAAGTCGGTTATAGAATGATCAATCTCACATGCATCTTTTCTATTAATGAAAAATAAGGGGTTAGAGCTTTCAGCTACACATGAACAAAAAGTGTCGGCAGCATTTTCGAAACGCCACCAAACGCCGCCTCACCATTTGGAAAATAATTTTCGGCAGCTTATCCGAAAATACGGTTAGATTTTTACATTAAACATAGATAAGCACAATCTGCCTTGAATGCACCCTTAGACTATGCAGGAGGATCGTAATTTATATAACTATTTTACTTTATTTATCTTCTTATTTTTGCACCACATCATCATCTTCACTGCGGTAGAGAGAGTTGTTTGGTATAAGAAGATGACGAATAGAAATATTAGGTGCGGATAATTACGGGAAAAAAAACTTAGATTGAAAAGAATATGAGCCAAAAAATATTGTGCGAATATGTATATAGTGAAAGCCAGCGTCCAAGGGGATGGGCTCAATGAGAGCACCAATTTTTTTTTATTTCATTATATACCCTTAATACTCTCCAATAAAAAGTTTTAATTATAAAATAACATAGAAGTCATTACAGACCCACTGCACGATACAACACAAATTACCTATTCAACCCTATAATACCTATTAGACGTATGATCATAAAGAAATGTTATCTATGTATATATTGAGAAGTTGATCCCTAATGATAACTAGATAAGAAATTAGTAATCACAATGTAATTTGAACTCGAGTCTCTCTTCTTTTAATTAGAGAAAAAACTACACCAATTTCTCTAAAAATTCTGCATAAGGTTACAACATTTTAACTCAACCTAACAACCACCAACACATTATGGCAACTGTTTTGAATTTGTCAATTTAAAAATAAAAATGCTCTGCTAAGAAGCAAGTTTCTTATTCTTGTTATTATTATTATTGTTCCCTTAATCGGAAATTGATATCTTATAGAGGAATTAGATGAACACAATATTTTCTGTATATTTTCTTATATTAAGTGTACAATCATTATAACTTTAATTCGCCTGAGCGATGCTCCTTAGAAATGTTGGCCGTTTAACGTAACGATAATTTTTCATCGACCAATATTCCCTTTCGACGAACAAGCATTTCTAATTTATTAAAAATAAAAACAAAGAAAATGTTAACATAATATACTCTAAACAGGCAGCCATACTTTAGATTTACAAGAAACAACTATTAAAAACTGACGTTGGAGAACTGAAAAGTTCAAGTAATTTTTACAAACTGCCCCCAAGGAAACCGATTGAATTGTTATTCCTCTGCACCACTGATCATTTATTAGAAAAATCAATAAAAACAGAAGATGGAACGAAAAGATAAAAAATAATAATGAAAGCAAGATAATGTCCCAATGATTTTATATTACAAAATAATGATACATAAAGCACCAGACCAGACTTGGGAATTGAAATCAACGCAACTTATCAATAATTTTGGAGATTGCGGAGTAGGTGCCAATTGCTGAGGAGGAAACTCCTACAATAAGAACCAAGGCGCACATAGCCACCTACAAAAAAAAAATCAATTAGTTGAGAAAAGTTTTACATGCATACCACTCAATTCTCATGTATTTACATATCTAACACCTAAACACTAATTTTTACGTATCTGTATGAAAAGATGTATTCACAATTTAGAAGTTAAAATAGTGGTATATTTGATGTGATATGAATGATTTGGGTGGTATAATAAAAAGCAAAGTTTTGGTGTTTGTTATGTACATACATATGAATTGGGTTGCATGTATGTAAATGCCCCCTTAAAAGTTAAATGCATGAGTATCTATTATTATTTTAACATTTAAAAGAAATTCAATGCAAAACTTGAAATTATTTCATGTGCTATTTCTAAAAACATTGAAAACCATCAATTTTTCTAATAAAATCTTTTAGGTATGCCTAATATAATTATTTTTCCATCATCAATCCTAATCATAAGTTTGATGTATCAAAACTTTGAATTTATTATCTTAGTAATAATTTTCAACGTTATATTTAACAATACTAGTCAACACTCATGGCATCTTGCTAACAAATAGGATCGTACTAATTAAAAAATTATATGATCCATATAATAAACTAGCTACATAGCACAAGTTTAGATTAGGCTGATCCAATATTGATCGGAGTTTTTTTTTTTTCTGATGATTTTAGGAATTATTTAATTCAAAAAAAGATTAAAAATTCATCCAATAAAAGAAATTTTTTTAGTAGAGAAAATCAGAATTAAGAACCCTGGTTTTAATATATACCTGAGGCCAAGTTGCTTTATTTCTGGCAATGCATAAAAAGCAGACACAAGGAAGAATAAAGGCCTGAAACAATTTACAGTTATTAGAAGCAAAATCTTTGACGCCGCCAACAATAACAACAAAACTGAAAGTTAAACTTACCAAAAGCATTGTAAGTAGAGAGCCAATCAATGCCATCACCAATCCTAAAGAAAAATGAGATTTTAAAGTGCAAATAAATGATATTGGTTTAGAAAGAAACAAGAGAAATTCATATAGAAAAAGTTGAATTATTTTTACAGGATAAATAAATAATGTTTTTGAGAATATAATTCTTAGCTTGATGAAAAGCTAATTTGGAACATGAGTTGTTATGGGCTCATTTCGCTGCTTATTAACAGAAAAATGTAATGTTTTACAAATGATGGCTTTGTTTCTCATTCTGCGCGTGAAATTGAAACCATCATTTTTGTAAGGAGTTTTAAGGAGGTTGTTAAATTTTGAAATCA